ACCGTCACTACGGCTGTGCGAGATGGTCAGAGAGAACAGCAAAGAACTGGAACGGCGTCCAAAACCTCGAGCCATTCCGGTTATTTTTCAGCTCCCCTACGGCTCTTTTCTCAAGCCTGGTGAAAACGTTGGTCGGTGCTCGGGCCTCAGGAAAGGCGAGCGGCCAAGTCTGACCACACCAAAGCCCCAGGCAGAAGCGGAGAAGGAACTGAACTCAAGGTTGCTTTTCCACACTCAGACCTTACAATATGCTGGAGTTTGGCAACCATTAGTGACCGTTGGAATGGCCACACTGGGAGGCATTTAGGTCCTCAGCTGTCCCACACGTCCCCCGTTACCGCTGCGCGCTGTGCTGAACTCGCGCCCGCAGCAGCAGCGATCCAATTCTCTTACTCTGAGATAGCTGTACATGCAGATGGACATCCAGTTGGTGAGCATCTTCTCCACCACAGATTCTGTTCTCCTCAGCATCAGCTTGGGGTTTTTGGAAGCTGAAGCATCTATTAGATCCACCAAGAGGTCCTTCATGATGCTGGTATAATACTCCAGTTTCCCATGCAACGCAATGGTAAGCAGGGAGGCCAGGTTACACCTGAAACACAGAATTGCGTATGACTCAAGCAACAATCCCACAAGACCAAACTGCTGACTGGCATTAAAAGAAGCCAAAACACAAAGGCAGTTATTTCAGACAATTCTCATGAGCCTTCTCAATGGTGTTAAAACTTCAGACCCCCTTTCAGTGCTGCACGACCTGGGGTCAGCTCACACCCTCTTACTGGTAAACCAAAGCGTTCAGGGATACAAAGGCTCATGAGTGAGTCACTCATTGTACCTTTTGGTGCTCTTCAGGGCAACGCAGGTTTACAGCTGTCTGTTTCTAATAGGAAAGTGGGAGGCAAGTGTCACTCAACCTTCAACTGACATGCACGGCTCCAGACATGGGCAGGATTGCTTACAGGTTAGGAATAAATCGGCCTGCTCCAGCTGCCAGGTCTTTTGTTCTGAAGATCATACCTATCTCTAACAGCGAAGTCCTTCTGTTGCTCGAGAGCATGGACAAAGACGATGAGAAAGTGTTTGTTGTTGAGTAAGGTGGAGAACAGCGAGATTCCTTCTTCCATATTGGGTCTGCAGTTTTCAGGGATCTAAAGAAAAATTTAGAAAGCAGTGTGAGAAAAACCCTGCTTGTTGTTTTGCTCCAGCTTTCACTCTTCCTGACTGCAAGGACGTCCCTGCTGAATGCAGAGGTACTGAGCTAAAGGCCCCTTACTCCCTCTGCTTGACGCTCTCCTGGCCAGAGCACGACGTGGCACACGGTGGCATCAGAAGCAGCTTGACCAGTGAGGCAGTGGCCATTCCTCTGCTCAGCCCTGCGAGGCTACCTGGAGCACCGGGGCCAGCTTTGGGCTCCCCACCGCAGAGCAAACTCGAGCAAGTGCCGCTGAGGGCAGCCAAAACAATTAGTGGGTGTACACAGAGGGGTGGAGAGGGCTGGGTTTGGTCAGCCTTAAGAAGAAGTGGTAAGGGGAGATCTTACCAGAGTCTTCACTGCCCTGTGGGAGGGCAGAGAAGACAGAGCCAGGCTCTTCTCTGCCGGCACAGTGCTAGGACGAGAGGCAAGGGACACCAGACGGAGCATGGGACACTGATTAAACATAAGAAGGAGCTTTTCACTTTTAAGGTGGTCGGACACTGGAACGGGGCCCGAGAGGCTGTGGGATTTCTGTCCTTGAAGATATCTGACACAGATGGACAAAGCCCTCGGCAACTTCATCTCATTGGAGCTGCTTTAAGCAGATCTCCCTTCCAACTTAAGCAACTCTCTGATACTTCAGTTCCTACTTCTTGTCCACATGAAACCCAGCTCTGGGACAACACCAGCTTTTACCAAGTCCCTACTTGGGAGGAATCCCATCTGTGGTGAGCTGTGTATGGGATGGAAGTGACACACAATATGATACACTCAGGAAGAAAAGCCCACAGTGGAGCGGAGGAGGATCTCAGGACAATGCTCCTGCATGCGAGAGCAGATCCGCAGATCTGCCTTCTCCAATCAGCCAAACCTGAGCTGATGCTTATTTGTGTTAATTGTTTTGAGTAATCAAGCATCCCCCCAGCACCACAAGAAAACGCATGGCATTGCCAACACACGCAAGCACTGTTAGCAACCACTCAAAAGCATTGTTCTGTTAGTGGGTTACTCACTTTCCATTCCCCCACCAGGAGCGGATGAGTTTCCTGGGCCTGGGAGCCCACCTGGGAGCTGAGCTGCTGGGACGGCAGGATGTAGCACTCCTCGTAGAGCGAGGAACACTGCAACCAAGCACAGCGTTAGGGCAGGGTGGCTGCTCCCCCCGGGACCTCCTCGTTCACCATGCACCACAAGGGAACAAGACGGAGAGACGTGTCAGCGGGACTGAAGACCACCCGTTATGAAGAAATGCATTGGTACGTTTTATGAAGCCTTTAAACACTTTGCAAGAGCCTCTTGAACGAGCAAACACCACAAGAACGGGAGGAGGCAGATGTCTGCGCAGACACAAGGCTGTTAGGGGAGGGAGACTGCAAATAGACTAATTTGACAGCTAGAAAAATCCCAGAAGAGAAAGCATTATAGAAGACGAAGTCAAAATAGAGGAGTACTGGGTGGTTTAACATATGTAACTTTTGAAACAGATGGGAAAAATGTTTAAATCTCCAACATTCCTACAGCAACCTGAATCTTAAAGACTCTAGTGAGCAGATATAGAGAGACTGAATAACTTAAAAACCTGAGTAATAACTACTAATGAAACACTCTGCAGTCATAAATCATCATCTCTCTCCTCACCACTGAAATGCAGCTGCCTCAGGGGTGAAATACAGCTGCTGTTAAGGGTGCAGAGCGGCCGGCGGGGCAGCCGTGATGGGAATTACGGCACCGGCGCGTCTGGTGCGGCGCTGGACGAGGACTCTGGGCAGACAGACTGGGACTGGGCGCCCGAGAGGCGTCCCACTGGGAGCACTGCGTGCCCAGCCCTCGGCAGGGAGGAGAGGAAGGGGGAACGGAGACATCTGAGGCGCTCCCGAGGGCCGGCCGAGTGGCCGGGAACGTTCGGTGGCACACTGTGAGGAGCAAAAAGCCCCTTTCCCTGAGCCCTTCGGCCTCAGCCTCCCCAGCAGAGCAGGGTGACACCGGAGCCCCTGGGAGAAGGGGGAGTCCCCAGCACTTTCTGCTCATGCGAGAGCGCGCTTTCTGGAGAGGGTGCCCATTGGCATGAAACGGGCGAGCCACAGCGACTGCCGGGACGGTGCCACCACCAGGCTGCTGCCATGTGTGAGCAAGGCCAGCCGCACACCACACCCCAGGAGCTGCAGTGCTACTTTTGGTGATAATTGAGGCTGAAACTCGTGATGACTAAATATATAACAGCGGAATGATTTTGTTACGCTGTACTAACCCGCGGCAGAGGGAAAGCAGAGCCCTGATCTGGTGAGGAGGGGCCCGGGAGCCATGAGGTGCCCGTGAAACGCGGTATCGCCTTACTTTGGGGAAGAACGTGCGGGTGACAAAGTACTTGTACTCCAGGAACGGGATCCCCTGGCTGCGGTTTAACTCCTTGGTCAGGTCTGTCATGTCTGTCTGCAGTTCCGCAAAACCTTACACAAAGGAAGAGACCCGCAGATGGTAAGAGCTCCCATACTCCACCAGCTGAGACAGTAAACAGGCTGGCACTGAAAAAACGTGTCATGTCTCATCTCTGCCTGCTCGAGCCCTTCCCTCGAGCGGGCTGAAGCAGAGTTTCCTGAGGAGAAGCAGGTTACGGCTGGGATTTATCCGTCAGCACTACATGTCGCGTCCCACCGCATGCCAGAGAACACGCTCCCCCTGCCCCGAGCCCGGCCCCAGCCTGGTGGCACCGGACCTCAGCCTGCACGGAGTCACGGGCCGCAGGGACAGCAGATGCCAACACTTGGACTGCTTCTCCCATCGCTCTGGCAGGAGCGTGCTGCAGTTTGCGTTGCACCTGATCCTTACGCACACTAAAGACTAGTGTGGCCTTCAAGAGACCCTCTGACACGGCCAAGGGCCACTCACCCCGAGACAGGGAAACCAATGGCACTGGAGACCAGTGGCTTGCCCAAGTCAGGCAGCACGACAGCGGCAGAGCCCTATATCCAGCCTCGTTCACAAACCCTGTCGAAGCTCAAAGGCGATGACAGAAATTCTCCTATAAATAATTCTATAAACTTCTACAGAATAGGAGGTGAACGGCTCCAACCCCGCTATTCTGGCATCTCCCTCGCAGTCCTGGCTCCTCCTCGGTGCCCAGGACGGTGACTTACCTTTGCGGATTTCCTCCCGGATCTGCGACTCCATCTCCTCCATCTGGAGCAGGGTTTTCTGCCAGTAGCGCTCTGCTCTGCGGCTCTTTGTGCAAAACACAAAGAGAGCTGGAAAAGAGGAAGGGAGAAGCCTTTTGGACTGGGGCTTAGAAGCAGCTGCAGCTGGGATCAGAGCGGTCCTCTGCTGACACGGGCGCGGAAATCTCAACTCAGTGTTGGATTAATCCCTACAACAAGACTGGTATCTGATCAGACAGTTGTTGATTACCTGTAAATGAGTAAAACCAGCTGGAATTTGATGATCATGCTCTAAGTGTCATCTTCAACTTAGGTCTGGGCTGTCTATATTCACCTTAACTGTATATTCATGTATTCCACCTGATTAATGAACACAGATTTTAAGACCTTTACCACCTGTATTACAGTGTTCATGCCTGACAGTCTTCCCATGCCTCCAGAAATATGTTTCTAGTGACGGGTGGTGCATTTAATAAATAATGTGCATTATAACCTTTATTTTAAAAAAATGAAATCCCTATTAGAAACTCCTCATTTACTGTGCACTGACAGGTTTCTTGCTGCACAGTCATTCTGGGCATGCGATAAGAAGACACCCCAGCCAGAGGACACAGGCGTGTTGCACAGCTTCCACTGAGGTTTGCAAACTGCTATGTCTGCTCCAGATCCCCAGCGAAGGATGCCTGCTCTGCTCTCCATGCTCTTTGCCAGGCACCTGTCACTGGCTGAGACCAAGGACAGGACCTGGGGCTTGGGGGACCTTTGGTGTGGCCTGGGGCAGTCACACCTGGGAGTGAGTCCTGTTCAAGCCAGTACGAGTCCCAGGCCAGTCTCCCACGCCCTTCTTTATTTTGTATTATAGTAGCTACTAAGTGTTTGGGGGAAAAGGGTAAGTTTATAAATATCCCAGGCTCAAGTAACAGAACTGAACTAAGGATTCAGCCAGCAAATGCTCCATGCTGCAGGAAGCTTTGATCCCGGGAGCTGGCTTGGCCCTGTACAAAGAAGTGGCTATGGCTACTTGCTGCACCCAGACCAGTTTCAGACACTGCACGAGTGCAGCACTCCGAGGTTTCCTAAGGTGTGAGTGAGTCGTCCGCACCCCTCCACAAGCAATGAGAAAAAACCCTCGGCACAGCCTGGAAACCCATCGTTCCACTCCCTTACCTACGACAGAGAGGACCAGCAAGATGCTGCAGATGACAATGGAGACGATGATTGCAGTCTCTCCTCCCCCGAGGTGCAGCATTGCGATTGTGTAGTTGAATTTTCCAACTTGGATCTAGAGAGGGAGGAGGAGGAGGGAGGAAAAGCAGAAGCTGAGTATCACATTGCCAAGGGGCTCAGAGGTCGAGCCAGGAGGGACTATGGGCAGCGCTCGGCAGACCTTTGCCCAAGGACGCGCTGCCCACGCCGGCTCAGCCCCCAGGCTTCGCGGGGAGGCCAGGCTGTGCCTTTCGCTGCCGGACCTCGGGGACTCCGCATGCCCCAGGAGAGCCCGGCTCCCTTCCCGCGTGCTCTGGTGGGATGCCAAGGCTGGCTCACAGCAGGCTGCAGTACTGCAGCGGTGCCCATCCCAGGGACACCACAGGGCTTCGGTGGCACATCATGTCCCCACCGTACCCACCCCAGGGCTTCGGTGGCACATCGTGCCCCCACCGTACCCACCCCAGAGCACGAGAAAACCCTTTCCTAGAGAGCGCACCGAACCATATAGCACCACTGGTACGACTTCTACTAGAAAACCACTTCCACTAATCATCCGGCTTTGCTCTACCCCTGCGCGGCCGTCGAATCCCATCTGCGCTCCCCCCTCCTCCACACGCAGACCTGCTGCCGCCGCTCAGGAGAAGGAGGGTAAAGAAACTTGGAAGTCTTTGAAATACAAATAAAGTAAGGGCATAAAAATAAATAATAATGAGACCAGAGACGAGCAATGATCTTGCGGCTAAAGCGGTGGGCTGGGTGTCAGGAGGTGTTGGCTCTGCTCCCAACCCGTACTTCTTGTGACACCAGCACAAACCACTTGAGCTCAGTCCCTCGGTCTCCTGACCAGCAGCAGGGAAGAGGCCAACACACATCACAGGCAGGCTGGAGAGTTTACTCGGCGCTGTTTATAAACGGCTCTTTAGGGCCCTGGGATGAAAGGGATCAACAGCATCATCTGATAAGGAAAAACTCGTGACCACGCAAGTCTTTTGCTTCTGGAAATGAGAGTTTCACTTCTCTCAAGGAATGAGAAGAGAGAGAAGTTTGAGCAAAAAAAATGAAACGAGGTAGGAAAAGATGGAATAATCTTATGATTACATCTGTGTCACGGAGTGCCTCTGGGAAAAGTGCACACTGCGGTTACACTGCAGTCAGCTCTCGGCAGCTGGGCAAGGCAGTGCCATGGACAGGGCCTTCCCACCATGTCCATGCACCAAACAGCGCATAGCGCCCAGCTCCATGCCCCTGGACCACTGGAGAGGGCATCAATGCTGCCAGCTGAAGGCATCCAGACAAGCCCCCTCCACTGGCAGGAGCAAGACTGTCACGCCGCAGGCAGCGCCGGCTGCCATCGCTGGTGTTAGGAAAACCCTCGGCGCCTCTGCAGGACCACACGGCCAGGCTGCCGTGGCGCTGCGCCCCGGCGTGCCCCTGTACCAACCCTCAGACCGACTCTGGCACTGGTGGTTTCTGGGGTGGTGCCTCCGGGCAGTGACCACCCTCGGCGCCTCTGCAGGACCACACGGCCAGGCTGCCGTGGCGCTGCGCCCCGGCGTGCCCCTGTACCAACCCTCAGACCGACTCTGGCACTGGTGGTTTCTGGGGTGGTGCCTCCGGGCAGTGACCAGCACTGAGAGCTTCAGTCTGTTCCCCAGTGGGTGCTGGCTGGGAGCCGGGGAGCTGGGTTGGGG